CCTTTCCAAAACAGTACATCACCTGCGTCACAGCCACCCTTCAAAATTTGCACTTCTCCGAATTTTGCAGTGCTGTGCACAAGCAATGTGTACAAAAATGCATATACTCGGGCCAAAGTGTACATTAGCATGAATATATTGTGGGGTGGAAGAATACAAAAAGTATTGCATTAGGGGAAACTGCTTTGCAAAAATGTGCACGTTGGAATGTGTATATTTAGGAGAAAATTGTAGCAAAATGTTGGTGAATTTTCACACAGTTTTTCTAAAATGAAAATTTGTAAACTGATGGAGAACTGATCTCAATTGTTGAAAAACGCTTAACAGAAAGAAACAAAAATTGTCAGATTTGCCTACCCTGGTTTACACATACAATAGATCGAAATATTAGAGTCTTGCCATGGTATGCTGGACTGTACCATTTCAGAATACCAGCAGGGCCAGTCCTACTATTAGGTATATGTCACACTCCAACTCCCATTGGCCCCAAACAGCATGGCCTGTGGTCATGGCTGAACAAAGGTTCCTCTTCCATCCTACAGAGAGTTCCAAAGGCAGTTTGTGTTACAACATGAGGTCTTCCAGGTCAAAGGAAGAAAAGGAGAAAAATTGTGTGGGCAGATTAAGTAACTGGATCCTGGCCTCTGTGCCTAGTTGGGGTTGCCCCCCCCATTTCTTATAAAAAGAGGGATTTTTTAAAATACATAACCGAGCTATGACTCAAACATTCAGATTTCAAAACACATGAATGCATGCACAGACACCCACAGCTCCCACAGCCTCCCCTACTAATTTCTGTTAGAAAAAGATATTTATATATACACTCCAGACAGCAAACCTCTCAAAAGGTTGCTGCTTGTCTATGGTCATAATTGAGGCATCGAAAGCTTTCCGTAAATTCCTAATTAAATTTGGTGCGTCACAATAATCACCACGGTAATGTGAACAAGGCAGGCCTTGGAAGTAAAAATGGTCCATTTGCAATGTCTGCCAGCAACTTTGGTGCATTTGTGCAAAGCACAGGAAGTAAGACACAGGATGCAGGGCTTTTGGCCTTCCAGATTTTGCCAAACTCCAAGCCCCGTCAGCCCTAGGCAGCACGGCCAATAGCCGGGGGTGATGGGAACTGTAGTTCAGTAACATCAGGATGGCTCAAGGTTGTGGAAGCTGATGTAGAAGAAGAAGAATTTGGATTTGATATCCGACTTTATCACTACCCTAAGGAGTCTCAAAGCGGCTAACAATCTCCCTTCCTCCCCCACAACAAACACTCTGTGAGGTGAGTGGGGCTGAGAGACTTCAGAGAAGTGTGACTGGCCCAAGGTCACCCAGCAGCTGCATGTGGAGGAGCGGGGAAGCGAACCCGGTTCACCAGATTAAGAGTCCACTGGTCTTAACCACTACACCACATTATGTAGATAATACCGAGGCTATGTAAACACCATACATGGTCTCCGCACAAGAATACTGGGAACTGTAGTTTACCCACCACAGAGCTACAGTTCCCAATACCCTTAACAAATGGCAGTTCTCAAGATTCTCTGGGGAAAGTTGGGGGCTTTAAATGTGCTTTAAATGTATGGCATGTACCCAGCCAGAGCTAGAAGCACCAGTGGTCTGACTTGGTATAAAGCAAGTTCTCCATTCAAATTGTGGTGGCTGCATTTCACACGATTTTTCTCTCCTGCTGTTTTGGTTATCATCCTGAAACCAGTCCCTTGTCTGCTTATCCATTCCTCATACATATTTAAGAATAAAAAAGAAGTCTGCAGGTGAAGAATTGAGAAGGAGCATGAAGTGTTTTTCAACTGAAGTGTGGGGTTCTCGTTATCATAATAAACGCACCAGTGCTTCTCAGGCAATGTGAGGGCAATTTAATATTGACTAGGAGGCGTCAGTGTTTGAGATAAAATGCACCAGCCTGTTTCCACTGTAGAGTAGAAGGGAGAATCTGATCACACTGGAATAAAGATTACCATGTCCAATATGTATGTGGAACATACTGTCTAGGCGGATGAGAGACATCTGCCTCTGGCAAAAGGTAGAAATGGAAAAGGGTCATAAATGTTTTCTTGCGGGGCCAATTAGTGTCGATTAGGGGTGGGGTGGGGAGGTATCTAATCTGTAGGGAGCTATTAAGGTGTAATCTGTGTAAATATTTCAGCCCTTAAGGAAATGCATCATATGCAGAAGTCAGAGAGTCAGTAGGCTCAGTAAAGAGTTTATTGCTGTATAAAGACCTCTAAATAAACACCAGGAGTAAATATGGGAATAATGACCAGGTGGGAGCCCATCAAGGATTCTTCCACCCAGTGGAGACATCATTCTTAGGGTTCTGCCAAAAGGCTGGACCAAAATTCATTGCCTTCCCACTTCACAGTTTCCGCCAAAATATTAGCTCCCTAACAAAAATGGGGACCAATTTTCTGTTGTTATCTCGGGCAGGGGCAAATATTTCTCCGAAATTAATTTTTTTAAAATCAAGGAGCATATGTGCAAAACTTTGGCCACCTGAATAGGAACACAACAATTATATCCTTTGGGGGGTATATTCTTCTTTTTACCAGGGAGGGGCTTGTTTTGCACCTACCCACCCACTGAATGGATGATTTTTTATTTTTAAATCCCTTTTGGCACAGCTCTATTTTTCCTCTTCCCAAAAACACATAGTACAGAGATGGGGAACCTGTGGCTCTCAGATGTTGTTGGACTCCAACTTCCATCAGCCCCTGCCAGCATGACCAATGCTTAGGGATGATGGGACTTGGAGTTCTGCAACATCTGGAGGGCCACAGGTTCCCCACTGCTGGCATAGTGTTAGCACATAATTCAGTATCATCTTTCTTTCTTTCAAACTCCAAGTGTCTAGTCCTTATGGCTAAAAAAATCAGTTTAGCAATGAGCAAATAGATTAAGAAAGGGAGATATTTTTCAACCGGTCTCTCTTTCCCACATTCCTTGTTTTATATGATGTGGGGCTTTAGGGTGGACCTAAAGTATTGGATAGGGACGTGGGTGGCACTGTGGGTTAAACCACAGAGCCTAGGACTTGCTGATCAGAAGATCGGCAGTTTGAATCCCTGAGACGGGGTGAGCTCCCGTTGCTCGGTCCCTGCTCCTGCCAACCTAGCAGTTCGAAAGCACGTCAAGTGCAAGTAGATAAATAGGTACCGCTCTGGCGGGAAGGTAAATGGTGTTTCCATGCACTGCGCTGGTTGGTCAGAAGCGGCTTAGTCATGCTGGCCACATAACCCAGAAGCTGTAAGCCGGCTCCCTCAGCCAATAAAGTGAGATGAGCGCCGCAACCCCAGAGTCGGCCACGACTGGACCTAATGGTCAGGGGTCCCTTTACCTTTAAAGTATTGGATATACTTAAAAACAGAAAAAGAGGCTGTTGATCAGGCCAGTGGCCCATCTAGCTCTGCATCCTCACAGTGGTCAACCAGCTGTCTCTGAGAAATCTGCAAGCAGCACCTGAGCACAAGAGCCCTCTCTCACCAAGTGGCATTCAATAACTGGTATTCAGAAGCATTGCTACCTCTGACCAATGAGGCAAAGCATAGCTATTGTGGCTAGTCGCCCCTAATAACCTTCTCCTCCAAGAATATGATTAATCCTCTCTTTTTCAGACAAATCTTTTATTTTTCTTCCTGCCACCTCGATAACGGATCACTTGCCATCTCTGTCTCTTTGCCAGATGTGCAGGTGTTGGGCATGATGGAAGATGTCTCCTCCCTCTGGATGCTCTAGTGCCACACGGAGAGGAGAAATGCTGATGAACTGATACAATAGCAGCATAGAATTACAATACAATGCAATGTGGATTTTATTATGCGGCACAGACCCAGTAAAGATCATAGCATTACAGCATGCAACATTAAAGGAATCATTCAAGGGAGGTTATTTCAGAGGGAGGCTGCACACGTTGCCAGCCAGGACTGGAGATGCCGTTGACGCAAGTCATCTTTGTGTTCACGCCTCCCCTCCCTCAATGTGATGCTTTTTACGCAGTACAATCCATCTGCTGCTGAATGAGCACTAATGGATCAGCCAAGAAGATCAGTTCACCTTCAGTGCCGGGGCTGAAGATGACAGACAATTAGCTGCAGGAGAATCCAAAGTGTGTACTCAAACAGACCAAGAAGTCTTTGAAGGACCCAGCAAGATGAAATCCTGTAGTTTGGTGGCAAAGATCATAGCCTGGTGGCAGGACACCTGCTTTGCATGTAGAAGGCTCCAGGTTCAATCCCCAACACTACCAGGCAGTGCTGGGAATATCACCTGCCTGAAACCCTGAAGAGACACAGCCAGTCCTTGTAGACAAAACTGGACTAGATTGTCATGGTCCGGTTCACAGGCAATTGAAGTCCCGGCAGGGGACATCAGGACTGGGGGCAAGATGGCAGGGTGGGAGCAGGAACAGGGGTCCAGAAGCCAGAAGTCAGGAAGCTAAGAGTCTGAGGGTCAGAGAGCCAACAGTCAAGAAGCCAAGGGTCCAATGGTCAGGAAGCAAGGAGTCACAAAGTCAAGGGTCCAAGGATCAAGAAGCAAGGAGTCAAGAAGCCAAGGTTCAGGAAGCGTGTTGCTGTGGCAAAGAGCCAAAGGGAAATGCTGACCTTATAGCCCTTCCCAGCTCTTGCCACCAGGTGCTGTGAGTTACCAATCGGCCTCTCCTGTGAGGCCACGCCTTGCCTCTTCAGAACAAACTTAGGAAGGCCCCAGTGCTGCAAAGTCCTATTGGTCACAGGGCCTGGCTCCTACATGCACACCTGACATAGATGGACCAATGGTCTGGGGAAACCCAGTCATGTGGGTGGGGTACGAATCATAAATGATGATGATGATGACTCAGTACAAGGCAATTTTCTGTATGAGTGGCAGAATCCATTGGTAATGCTTTTCCTGGACTGTTTCATTTCAGGTGTAAGGTGTGGTGGCATCTCTAAGTGGTCTCCCACCCTCCCAAAAGAAAAGAAAGGGTTCTTCCCTCCTTGCACATAGGATAGTTCAGTTGGTTAGAGCATGGTGCTGACAATGCCAAGGTTGCAGGTTCGATCCCCATAAGGACCAGCTGTATATTGTTTGTCAGGGAGTGGCTGGATGAGGAGGAGTGGTGGGAGCCGCCCACCTAAGAGCCCACCCAGGGAGGACAGAGAAGATGACACTGAAGAGCAGTCTGGGGATGGGATGAGCTGGGAGGTGCTAGAAGCAGGGGGGTTGAGTGATCAAGAAGGGTTAGGAGAAGGAAGAGCTTCCAGGACAGGGTTAGAGGCTGAGAGTCACAGTGTGAGCACAGACTCAGACAGAGAGAAGTCAGAGGTTGCCCCTGCTACACAGCAGGACAGTCCCAGTCCTGCTGGCTCTCCTCCCCCTCTGACACCCTACTTGCAGAGAGACCTCCATGTTGCCGAGCAATGGGGAAACGAGATAGAAGGGGGAAACTACTTTGTTACCTCATGCAAGCTGAGTATGTGGTTAGACAGAGAATAAAATATATCGATGTACAAGGGTTACATGCCTCAGCTAATGGGCCATGTTTATCAAGCTCACTGGGCCTGACAAATATATGCCATATCTAAATTTTCTAACATTACCCTAAGTACGTAAGAGCAGTTTTTAACAGTTTGCCCTCTGAGATCCTCGGTGCAGAATTGACATCGTTCCCTTCAAGGAGATGTGCTGCCCTTGCAACCACTTAGAGCATGAAAGTGTCTGTCAAGTTTTCTTCTCCTTTTCATCAAAGGGGTTAGGGAACACATAATTTATCCTCTTATGAGAAGGTTTCTTGGTCTATCCTTAGAGGCTCCTTTTGAGTATCTTCCTTGAGGAGTCTAATAAATCTATTACTGAACAGGTGGCGATATATCTGGATGCTGTAACATCTCTGAGACCTGCTAGGATTATTAGATGCTAGCTTGTCACATTGAATAATGGTTCCTACTGAAGCTGTAATGTTACATACTACTTTACAGGCTGCATTTTGCATAATGGCCAATTGTCTTTAATAAACATCTGATTGTGTTACCCAGCTCTTACAATGACCCACTGCCCCCATTTAAGTGTAAGCACAGCCTCTTGACCAACTTTATTTTCTTAAAGGCCTAGCAAGGATTATTGGGAGTCAAGCAGCAATGCTTGTAATAAGTTACTTGAACCAGTGCGAGGGGCAACAGGAAGGCAAGCTGTTCTTCCTTTGCAGATTCCTTCTTCAGTAAATACTTGTTGTCATGCAGAGTGTGCTTCTTCGTATATTATTTCCTTCCTGCTCCTTCTTCAGTTCATCCACGGGGGGCTGCCTGTTGGACTTCTGCACCCAAGGCAGCTGCCTCAGCCTGCCTCATGGGCAGGCCGGCCCTGTGGCTGAGACAAATTGAAGTTGATGTCAAACAGAAGCTCTTCACTGCTTCTAAGCCACAGCACGACTGGGGAGCTGTTGTGAATCAGAACACACAATATCAGCCTAGATGAACCCAGTGAAGCTTTCCCCACCATTTAGCAGTCTGGGAGAAAGGAAGCTATAAACTGCCTCCAGGCAAAACAAGAAGCCTGCAGTTGTTTCAATTGGCTTCCATTAATTTCCGCCTCATATATTTAATTTATGCACATTATCTGGTTCCCTCCTACTGTTTTCCTCTTTTCAGTTGTGTTTTACCCCTTCTCCTAGTTTTTTTTAAAAAATGTTTTTTTAAAAAAGATTTTCATGAGTAACAGTTTAGTACATTCAGTTTCTCTGTTTTGAAATCATAGAGTCCTTCATGCAGGTCAGTTACATTCAGTTTGAGACATTTTTGTTATGTGCAGTTTGGGGGTGGAGGGGAAGGGAAGTGGGTAGACAGAGGGGAGGAAACAGGCATGGTGGGGAACAACCCCCCCCCCGTAATATATGAGCATGGCTTTTGTGTCAGCACCACATAGGTAGGTACCTTGATTTGTATCAGAGGATCCAGGTCATGGTTTCAGTCATGAGTCAGTGCCTCTATCAGCAGATCCAATTTATGCATCTTTTGTAGCAATGCTGCCTAATTTCTCCCAGTTCTTTAATGCTATGAACTGTTTGTATATGTGCGCACACATACATCTTTGCAAAATAAATGCCTGTCTCAGATGATTCTTCTTTCCTTGCATAATTTTATAAAATGGCTATCTTTATGTCTCACAGACCAGATTGTTGCATTAAAAGTTCCCTCTTTGTGTCATTTATTCGCTAATCATTACCGGGCTGCAGCCAATAAAATCAGCCCACGGGATCTGATAAGAAACCAACTATCTAAAAGCCATTGATGGAGTCTGTGTTACTTGACTCTTCTTGGCTCCAAGCTTAGCCATCAAGATAACCACAACAGATGCTGTTTTCATAAGCTGCCTCCACCCTGCACAACCTGCGTTTTGTGTATTGATTTTGTGCATTGTGAGAGCTGTTGCGCCAGAGAGTTGTCTCTGGACAACCAAATGGTTTGGGCAAAGGGAAGATGAAGCGTCAAAAGGGGGGAAATACAAAGCCCATTTTCAAAATGATCAAAATGCTGGATCATGTAAAATAATAATAATAATAATATGCCCTTCATTATAAGATCTCAGGTCAGTTCACAGAATAAAGTACAGGATAAAAACAAGTAAATAATTAAAACAGTGTAGCAACCATACCTTTAAAGCACATTATTCCCCATCCCAAAGAACTGAAATTTACCTCCACAGGTTTACTAATGTAATACTATCCTTGTATGCAGAGTGGCTCAGGAATTCTAAGAAACAAACAAACAAACAAACAAACAAACAAACAAACAAACAAACTGGTGTGGTTTTAAAATCAGTAGTTAAAATCAGGGCAATTTTGAAAGGTGCAATCTTCCATCTTGATTCAAAATGGTGTCCAACCAACTCCCATCATCTCCATCCAGCTTGGCCAACAGTCCAGCAGGCAGCATCTGGAGGGCCAAAGGTTCCTCACCTTTGGTCTAGGAGAAGTTGGTATTTCATCCCAGTGGCACACATGACATTGAACTGCAAGGTCAGGTAGTGTATATTTGCAATGTAGTGCGCAAACATTTGCTTACCCAAAGGACATTCTTTTATTAGGCAATTAATTATTTGCACAGTTCCTTCCCTGCTTATTTGTTGGTGTCATTTTCATTCTTAATTAAACAGCTGGTGGGAGGATGCCTGCTAATCATATGGTAGCAGTGGGATGCTCTAAATGTGCAGTGTCCGATGTGCTCCTGTTTTGAAACCCTGGGAGGGCTGAGAGGGACAGGAGCAGGGCCTAAGCTTGGCTGAAGGAGCAGGAACTTGTCAGAATTGTTATAAGAAAAAAACTGCTCCTTTCCCCTTATGGGGTACGCAAGAGCCCGCATGGAGTCCTTGTGTAGGTTCTCCATCGGTAGGAGAAAATAACAGAGGCCAACCAGAGAATATTGAGAAGCAAAGCAGCTAGTAAGCATGATCTTCATTAAACTGTTGCAACAGGGTCCTCACTCACCACATGCAGGAGGGAGGAGGAACCCAGAACAATGGTGTGCAAGCCCTTATATAGAGCCCTCTAGCTCAAGACCACCCCGCCAATACATCATACATATATCAAAGGAGGGGTAGTCTACAGCAGAATCTTGTCTGGCAGGAGACCTGTTAATGGGTTTACCTGAATAGCCTGGCCATTCTTTTGTGATGATAAATACTTAATTCCTGAGTCCAGGTCACAGGCTCACCCTAGTAAAGGTAAAGGTACCCCTGCCCGTACGGGCCAGTCGTGTCCGACTCTAGGGTTGCGCGCCCATCTCGCTTAAGAGGCCGGGGGCCAGCGCTGTCCGGAGACACTTCCGGGTCACGTGGCCAGCGTGACAAAGCTGCAGCTGGTGAGCCAGCACCAGCGCAGCACACGGAAACGCCATTTACCTTCCCGCTATAAAGTGGTACCTATTTATCTACTTGCACTTAAGAGTGCTTTCGAACTGCTAGGTGGGCAGGAGCTGGGACCGAACGATGGGAGCTCACCCTGCCACGGGGATTCGAACTGCCGACCATACGATCGGCAAGTCCTAGGCGCTGAGGTTTTACCCACAGCGCCACCCGCGTCCCTCATAGGCTCACCCTATTCATACACAAATGTGCCCTTAAGGCACATTTTTGAGCACTGAGAGAATGGGGAGGCTTTTCCCATTTCCATCCAAACTCCAGAGGAATATCTGAGGTCACTGAAAGAGTCAAAATGGCTTTAGGTCTGTTTTCCTGTATTGTTTCAGACATGTGGTTTATATATTTATGTATGTGTTTGCCTGGTACATTTATGAACATTTATTTTATATCTTAGGCCTTATAATTCTCATAACAGGATGAATAGTCTATTGGGGATCTTTCTGGCTCAGTTTGTTTTAAGGTCTTAGACCTCCCAGCTGTTGGAGCTGCAACCTGATTTGCTCTAGGTCTATTTAACAAGCTGTCTGGGAAATCCATAGAGAGCTTGTGCCAAATGTTTTGAGTCCTACAGGAGCTGTTCACTCCTTTGCATCTCTGGCTCCTCATTACAGGGAATATCTAACATGCAGAACATTGGCCCAAACCAACTTAGTGTTCTCTGCACTGATTGGCAGTGGTTCTTCAGGGCTCCAGACAGAGGTCTCTACCAGCCCTACCTAGAGATGCAGGAGACTGAACTGTGGACCTTCTGCATGCAAAGCAGATGTTCTACCACTGAGCTATGAACCTCCTCCTGCTTTCAATCCTTTTCGTTGGTCTCCAATATCTACTATTTGGAGTGGTGGTGTTTTTGTAGCTGGAGACTCCACTATATATTTTAGAAAGTTGTTTGCTCAGTCTGCATTTTGACACCTCTTAACCTATCACCACCAAATTTTGCATAATGGTTCCTGAGATCAGGTTTTTGTCTATGTTTGGATGCCATGGTACATCATCTTAAAGCAAGATATTGCAGACTGAACCCTTCAAAACTTCTCTAATTTTAACCACTGATTTCTAAACCACACTGGGTTTTTTATGGGGTTTTTTTAGAATTCCTGAACCATGCCAGATCAAAGGATGGAATTTCCATCCATCAATTTTCTAATCTCCTTTTTGTA